ATCATCTTTACGACGTAGGTTCAGTATTTGAGTTTCCAACTCCTCCAGAACTTGCCTGTAAACAAAGTTCTCTGACATGTCAATATGAATTCACAACAAGCTGTAAGCTGTACACGTTAATACGAGGTCGTTGGGAACTTATGGTAGGGGAAATTAATTCTATCAAAACTTCGCTGCATTCGAACGCAATATGGAAATGAGGCGCGCAAGTGATAGGCGATAAACAAGTAGAGTTAACAACATTTTGAACAAATCTGACAGTAATAAAAAAATTGTACATCTCATGTTGGGAATTATATTAAAAGTAGCTATGCTATGACTTTGTACGCGAGAAAATAGTTTGAATAATATTTCCCATTTTTGCTCCGCCCGTACTTATTGGCTGTTAAATATTCTTAAGTCTTCATCGATAAATGAGCTATCTAACACAAAAAGATTTTTTGCAAAGCAAACAAACAAACAAACTCTTCAGCTTTATAGTATTAGTATAAATAAAGGGATGCGTAAAAAAGTATTTCTATAATCACAAAGAAAACTACTGGTAGTAAATGGCTTTCAATGCTTCGTCAATCGTCATGAAACATACGGTCTCCCGCCTTTTTAGATACTGTCAGCTTGATTAAAAGAAAAAGAATAGAAAAAAATTAATATTGCTGTTGAGTTTTGGAATAAACTAAAATAAAAGAAAATTCATTTTTCTATTACAACTAGCAATACACTTCACTTCTATTGATGGTTTTAAAAGCACGACCTTTCATCTCTATGCCGCATTGACAGACGGAACCAATATCTGCATTGTGCAGCGTACTCCAATAAGCCATTGTATGGCTGTAATACACCAGCCATCGGTTTCCTGAGCCTGAGCGTGAATTACACGACTTGTAAAACTGTAACTGGGACTTTTCGAACTAGTTTTGTAGCCCGCCATTATGTGGGAAACGTGAGCAATTAATTTGGGGACGTGAGGTTGACTTTTTAAGGCAATTCATAGTTTCAGCAGGTGCAATTATATTGAGGAAATAAAAGAAAGTATTATTTATTACCAACAGGATATAGTATTTCTTTTGATTAATTATTATTTATTTATGTATGTTTGGTTTTATTAATGTTACGTTTTTCGTGTCCCGGTTTCGTGTTTCGGTTGCATTACAAATGAATCAATCAACAAAGTACACGCTTTTATGCTTAAAATGTATAAAATGCTTTCACTTGCTTATTTTGAAATCTAAAAGATCATTTTTAACAATTTTATACATAATAATCAATCACATCAAATGTGGTCAACTTGATCAACTTTAAACCCTAATCTTCTTTAACAATGTCTAATTCACCGACTTTAGACGCAGTCAAACGTCTCATTCGCATAGGCTCATACGCCCGTATTAACAAACGATGCTTGCTTAAGTGAAGCAGTAATCGAAAATCAATCGAACGCACAGCGTTGAATAGAGCTCTGTGATTGGTTCGTGTGTCACCCTGTGCGTCCACGTGCACTGTGAGAATTCATAGTAATGTTTGTAAATACGGGCGTTAATCTACAACCACACAATAAAACTACCCACTTTAGCCCTACCAGTTAAACAGTAACCCAAAACAATACAACAGTCAAAAAGAGCCGCAACATCTCTTCAAATTCCGCAAACACAGACAAACTCCGCAAATCAACGGGTAACAAATGACCGGCGGGATGCGGGATTAGCCGAGACCGGGATATCTGGCCTTATCGTAAACCCCGTGTTACATTTATCTTTAGATCATGCAAATCCCCCTATTCACGGTTAATAGTGATGGGCCAATCCCGTTAATATTTACAGGGCCTGGACAATGTAACGTTCGTGTAGAGTTCATGAAACTTAGAAATGTAGCGAAATCACTAGGTACTACACTCGCGAGCAAAAGTATGGAATCACTTACATGAAGTTGTTTCCACGCGATCTTGTGTACTAACGAATTTGTTAGGAACAAAAAAAGTGGCACCATTTTAAAGATTAAACTTTTATCTTTAAATTGATACCAAATTCATTCAAATCACACCAGTATTTAAAAAGATATCCCGGCTGATGTGGAGAAGTAAAGAAAAAGATATGTATGAACTGTTTGATACGTCGCGATTTGCGGCCTATTTACCCCCTATAAAAGCACGCGTTTTCGGATTTTTTCTTTCACACGTTGATTCATACACATCTCCGCTTCTTTTGACACTTTGCCTGGAATTCTACACCTTCAGAAGCAGCCCAAATCGTTGCACTATTGCAAGAAGGGCTCAGCCAGCGGGCTGACGCACGTCAGCGCCACATAAGCCAGTCCTGGGTTTCGAAAGTTTTAAGACGCTTTCGGGAGACTGGTGGCTTTATCCCGAGANACGATTTCATAGAGAGGTTGACATGAAAAAACGGTCTTCCCTCTGCGATGTGCACCGGCGCTGTTCAGAACTTGGTCTCGGGATAAAGCCACTAGTCTCCCGAAAGCGTCTTGAAACTTTCGAAACCCAGGACTGGCTTATGTGGCGCTGACGTGCGACAGCCCGCTGGCTGAGCCTTTCTTGCAATAGTGCAACGATTTGTGCTGCTTCTGAAGGTGTAGAATCCCAGGTAAAGTGTCAAAAGAAGCGGAGATGTGTATGAATCAACGTGTGAAAGCAAAAATCTAAAAACGCGTGCTTTTATAGGGGGTAAATAGGCCGCAACTCGCGACGTATCAAACAGTTCATACATGTCTTTTTCGTTACTTCTTCACATCAGCCGGGATATCTTTTTAAATACTGGTGTGATTTAAATGAATTTGGTATCAGTTCAATGATAAAAGTTTAATCTTCAAAATGGTGCCACTTTTTTTGTTCCTAACAAATTCGTTAGTACACAAGTTCGCGTGGAAACAACTTCATGTAAGTGATTCCATAGTTTTGCTCGCGAGTGTAGTTTAAATCTTCCTAGAGTTAAACCACCTAAATTGTGATGTAGAAACTGAACATGAAAGTTGCGTTTCTTTAGATTCTATCTTTAAGATAGGTATGTCTACAAACATTGATTAAAAAGAATATGAATTTATGAATTTGGTCTTTAACAAAGCACTAACGACGTCCTGTAATTAAGGATACAATTTATAGAGCCATACTTTTTTTCTTATTTGATTAATCTCAATTAAAAATATATTTTCTTCATGTTAGACTAGCTTTTGCCCGCGGCTTCACCCGCGTGAAATTTAGTTTGTCACATATCGTCATAAATTATAGCCTATTATGTTATTCTGGGTTATAAACAATAATACTGTAAAGTTTCATCAAAATCCGTTCAGTAGTTTTTGCGTGAAAGAGTAACAAACATCCAGACATCCAAACTTTCGCATTTATAATATTATAGTAGGATTCCCTAACCCTAATCGAAGAGCCAATCTATTGTAACGCTTAGATAACTAACCCCAATTATCAGAATTTGAGTGATCGGTATCACAAAGGAATACCAGTGATTGGATCCAAATATATATTATAATCGAGACAATCCTATTGAAACTCGTTTGTGTTAATAGAGTACGCTGGATCAAATCCGATTTTAGTTTGAGTATCATATACGATGGAGGTTTGTCGGAATTTCTAGGCAAGAGTTAATCTTATTTCAATAATAATAATCTAATAATCTACTATTATGAAACAACTAATTATTATTTTGTATTATTATTATTTAGTCACTATCCTATACAATTATGATTTCATACAAAACGTAAATATGAATTTTAAAATAACGATATTAAAGTTTATGATAACTACATTCATAGTCTATGTAAAATTTCGCGCCTTTTACATTGTCATTGGCTATGATCTCTGTGAAGTCACTTGTTAATTTTGTCATAATTATAAGTTCGTATAATTAATGAAACTATAAAGTTAATCCCGAAGAAATAACTCTTTGACTCAATGAATACGAGTTACTTTTTATAAAAGAACCACTCGAAACATAAGCAAAGGAAGAAAATTTAATATCAAGAAAAAACAAAGTGGATTTTTAAATTAAAATGGCAACAAAGTGAATGCTAAATCTAAACCGCGGCAATCTGTTTATTTAGCGGGGTTAGACGGTTCTCCTAATCCGTCTTGGGTAATCCGATAATGCCTTACAGCAGTCCGCCTCGGGAAAACTTAGGTAGGAAAATACAAGGGCCTCGCCGGCGGGGCACTACACTGTGTTACAAGTACTACTAATTATTCTGTGGTTTTATGATGCAAGCTGTGATATTCATCAAAGTTTAATAAATAAATTAGATAATCAAACACCAAACGTTTATTTATGGAATGAAAAACGTAAAAAATACACTTTAGGTGGAGATCCAATCTAACGCACATGACAGTAATGGGTCTTGGGTCGTGGTCCACCTGCTTATTTCACCTGGGTGGACCACGGGCACTTTTAAAGCCTATATTTCACCGGGACACCATGGCGGCGCAACCAGTCGCCGCTACCTACAAAATGTATATAGCTTTGCGCAACCAAACGGACTCTCTGAGTAAGTAACTCTCTATAGAGCTGTGTACGTTTTGTTCGTAGCCGGCGACTGGTTGCGCTGCCATGGTGTCCCGGTGAAATATAGCCCTAATGGCACCATTGAGTTGTCTACTAGACGTGCGTGCGCGTCTATCTTACGTGATAAATCTTATCTACATACAAGCACATGCCAAACATATGTATGGTAGGTACTGATTTTAATAGGTGCGACTGACACGCACAGCCAATGAATGAACCGAAATATCACACACCAACTGAATTTTTTCTTCTTAATTTCTCAGTGCCATTTGCACAATGTGAGACTTCTGTAAATTATTTAATCTTTGCCGAAGGTCGGTTATTCTCTTGGATATTCTTAGCCGAACGCAAACACGATTAAATTCAATTTGCGTTAGTAGAGATACTTTGTTTGAAGCGCTGATTGGTTTAAGATTTAAGCTGTATTGTTTTCAAAAAAGTATAATTAAGCTGATAACAAATAATTAGTTATAAAAAACAAAATACCTTAAGTTGCAGAATTCAGGTATGCCAAGACTTGAGGATTAGTACCTGCAAAAAGAAATACATAATGTTAGAAATGATTTCATAACCCATAAATGTATGTGAACATTTAAATAACTTTGATAAAGACTAAAAAGTAAATAAAATCTAATAAACATCGCAACTCGAGCAAAGTTAATATTAGTTTTAAGTAACTTTTAAAAATACTTTAAAATGCTAAACTGACTGAAAAAGAAAAATATGTTCGACGGAGAACCATCCCAACTCGCGTAAAGTTAATTTAATTTTAAGTTCTTTCATTATTGCACTCATCTCGCTACTTTGTAGATTTGAGTGTAGACGCATCGTACCTATTATAGTTTTCTATAAATAGTGTTATTTGTAGAAAAATCTAAAACTTAAAAATAACGATATCGTTATAGCTGTCATTGTGACATTGACATAATGTCAATGTCATACTAGAAACGTCAGAATAGAGGGACGCGCTCGAACGACTACGCGCGCTTTTGTGCTAAGTGATAAATTGTATCTAAAATGAGGCAATATAATGTAAAAGTTAAGTACTTTTATCTAGTGTTTTATTAATGAAAATAGATCTACCGGCTTCTAATAGTTAGTAGATAGATTCGTTTCGCGACTCGTGTAAAGGGCCCTTTACAAATCACTATCAATTATTATTACGTAAGGGTCACACCCATTTTTAGGACCACTCAATACGTTCTATTAATAACCACTATCTTCGAATCCGGCGCACCTCGAATAAAAGGGCAAATGGGCCAATTACGATCGTCTACAGAGGCGGCCTTGACGACAATTGGTGTCCAGAGGTAGAGACGTCCAAACGGCAGCCGTTTAACCAATAAAAATTATATAAGGATGAAATTCTTACACTAGGGCACGTTTTTGAGGTAGCCAAGAGCACGTTTCACTTTAGACACACCTAGTTTATTCCAGGCCCAAAGATTAACCTATGTCCCGTGACATAGGTCGTGTTTTCTGTTAATAGGCTTAATTAAGCTTAAAAGCTACTACAAGAATATCCCTGTGTTTCCATAAATATGATGACTTAAAATATAATATTTACATCATCACCTAAGTCATGTATTTGCCTAATGCTCGTTTTCACCATCAATTCTTAATTTTTAAGTGATCCCAATGAAAACAAAATTCCTATTATGCGTGACCATACCACCACTTAAAAATTAGGGATTAATGGTGAAAACGGGCATAAGACGTATGCCGGTGAATCCGCGGTTTCATAAAATGCGTGAACAAATTACGACTATTGACTTAAAATAATGCAGTTTATTACTGAAATATCTAACATAGAAATATCAACTTTACCGATTCATATCTCGTGTTTTATCCTCAACAAATGCCTTTTTGTTGATCAAGCGGTGTTACCGCCGACATGAAAGCTGCGATAAACTATCTGATAAGTCTAACACACCACATGTGTCTGATATCACAAATGACATCGTTTATTAATCACTTTAGTGGGCGTACACAACAACAGGGTGAATTGCACCATTTCACTTTAACCGCGACTATAACGATAACCTATGGAGAGGGCTATCCTCGGTGATTCTTTACGAGATCGAATCAGAAATCAGGAGATTCGTAAACAAACTAAAGTCGCTGACATAGCCCGACGGATTAGCAAGCTGAAGTGGCTATGGGCAGGGCACATAGTACGCAGAACTGACGGCCGAGGGGGCAGCAAGGTTCTGGAGTGGAGGCCGCGTTCCGGAAAACGCAGCGTGGGACGTCCACCCACAAGGTGGACCGACGACATCATGAAGGTACATCACACACAGAAAACAACGGGTGCGTGACAGTTTATATAAGTTTATATGATATAAATTCATTTCAATAACGTTCATATTGTATAATAAACGTATGTTATAATAACACTTGATATAATTTTTTAACATATAATGTTTACTTCATATAATAAATCATTTCTAATAATATCATTTCAGATACCAATCACAACGCATAAAGACATTTGATATAAACCTTACTTAATCTAAGACTCATTTGATGTAATTTTGTTTAATATAAATATTATTTCACATAACCATTACTTGTAATAAATATTATTTGTTATACTCTTTAATTGATATAATTTCTTTGACTTATAAATGACTTTAGTGACAAAAACGAATCGCCGTAAAACCGACTCCACGTAGTCTTGTCTGCCCTACCCCTAGAGTGTAATTTAGAAGCGCGTAGGCACGGAGGGGCGAGGCGGCCCGCGGACTGAGGAGCAGGTGGCTGGAAGCGAGGCGCCGCGGCTGAGGCTTGCCGGCGAAGCCAGCCAGCAAGCTGAAGACGCGGTGTCGAGCGAAAGCCATCTGCGACGATTAGCACGCGAGGGACCGCCAGAGCCCCGCAGTGCCGGAGCGGTGACAGAAGTCTCAAGTTTTTAGTCAAATTTGCATGCTGCATGCCTGCATGCCTGCTTGCTTGTTTGCTTGCCTGCTTGCCTGCTTGCTTGCTTGCTTGCCTGCTTGCTTGCTTGCTTGCTTGCTTGCCTGCTTGCTAGCTTGCTTGCCTGCTTGCTTGCCTGCATGCTAGCTTGCTTGCTAGATTGCTTGCTTGCTCGCTTGCTTGCTTGCTGCATGCAATGCTTATTATAACAAATGAACTTTATATAAAATTATTATTGTTACATGATTTAAGTTTTATAGGAAAAGAATTTTATCTCATTTGATTGTTCGACATTTTATTTTTATATGATTTGAATGTTATTTGCTTTAAATAGTGTACATTGTAAGTTTTATAGAAAGTATTAATTATATTCAAACCATTTTATATCAGTTAATAGTTATTTGTCTTAAAATTATTCGTTTTAAAATTATATTATTCGTTTATTATAGTAAATAATTATTATATTAAACGATTTTATATAATTTGATGTTATATCCTCTAAGTATTATATGATATGTAGTTATATCATACATTACACACCCGAAAACAACTCAAGTATCAACCGTAACTTACAGGTGTATTCAGCTCTGAAAGGATACTTCACGTCACTACCAAGCGGTATCGACTCCATTTTCACGGCGTTTCCTGACACATGATAATCATGACGTGTGTTTAGGGTAAACGCCCCTAAAGGAGAACAACCATTTTGGGCCCAAGTTTGTACAGAGTTGTACATTGGTAGGTTTTAGATATTATATTACGCATACATTAGGGAGTATTTTACGGTAAAAATGATAATTTTAACTGATGTCGTAAGTCGTATACAATAATAAAAACGAATTAATGATTTAATCTAAGATAACGTGAAATGGAACGTTAAAAGTCAATCGATTAAAGACTCAGTACACTATACTGTCCCACCAAACTCATTGACAGGGGGGCGCCACCATCGTTCAACTATATAGTTTCTAACATGGCAAAAATCGGAACCAGCGATCCGGTATTGACGGTGGCGCCCCCTGTCAATGTCACGGGTGGGACAATTCAGTGTATTTGATCTTTAAGAAGGTTTGTACTGACAGATGACAAAACTAAAATGATTGAATGAATTAATGAATGAAAATAATTCGTTTTGTCATCTGTCAATGCAGCAATGTCACTTGCGAATCACAGATGAGACCACAGATTATGAATGAAAATAATTCGTTTTGTCATCTGTCAATGCAGCAATGTCACTTGCGAATCACAGATGAGACCACAGATTAGAGAGTATGTCTAAAGGATCTAAAGGATGAGACTGTTGCGAATGCTTGTTGAATTGAATTAAAACGAATTAAAAGAAGAAGAAGAAATAAAACTATCGATTAATAACATTTTATGCTATTTCTAACGGATTCTGCTTGCGATTTGGGTAGCTGACGACTTGATTTTGTATAAAAGTAACATTTTTTCTAGTTTTTTCTAATTTAGTTTTCTCGAGAATGACACTAGTTAGCAACCTCAAATAAACACAATAATAAACTAGTTTATGAAGGCATAAAAACGACATAAAATTTGTAGCTGTACAAATAACTTAGTACTGGGCCCAACGCTTCATAGAAAGTGGTTGTTCTCCTTTATAGCTTGACATACCATCAATAATGATACATCGGATAGATAAAGGGTGGACTAATATAATGTTAATAAGGTCGTTAACCAACAGATTATGGCATGAAGGGTCTTATCCTAACGATCTTAAGGAAAGAGGAGGCAAAGTAGAACAGTATGTTCTACTTATCAATTTGGCAACGTTGGTGAATAAAATTGACTGGTCACCTCTGAAAAAGTATTTGAGTATGATTTTATCTATTACCCATAGGACAAGCTTTGCTTACCTAGTTTGGGACTAGAGGCGCAGTGCAAAAATGTCCAAGTATATTTAAAAAAAATCTTTAGGAGAATTGTTGGTCTTTTGGTACAATGCTTCCTTCTCTCCACGATACTACATGTTAACAACTGAAGATGTAACCCTGATGTCAAACTTCATGAGCAACTTATTAACCTGGTCAAGTTAGCTGCGCACCAAGCAGCCGTGACGTCACATCTACGCTCGGGACGAACGCGGGGTGTGCGGATGAGTGCGAGGGAGAGTCGCATTCTAATAGACTAGTACTAGCAGAGTTTAGCAGACGTCTGAAATATTTATTGCCTAAGTGAAATCGCAACTCTTCCCGCGGGTGTCGTAAGAGGCGACTTAGGGACACTACACATCAAACAGAGAACGGGCAGCAGCGCTCTCTGAAAAACATCAATCTTTTAAACTGCGATCTCCAACCCGCCTGCCAAGCGTGGGGATTATGGCAATACCCTCCACTATAGTGAAGGAGGCTCATAGTCCAGCAGTGGACTGTAAAGGGCTGTTGATGAAGTGAAATCGCCCTATACGTTTGACAAATACACACGTATCAAATTGTACAAGAACTTCATGCTGAATTTCTTCGAATTATGTGAAAATAGGTAAGTTAAATACGGAAGGGCTGAGTGAAGTAATCAATCTTCATCTTTCCAAGAAATTGGGTTTAGTAAGGGATTAATTGGTATTGGATCAGTCGAAGAAAATGGGATGAGTATTTTGC